AATAGCGATATCTATGGACTTTTAAGATAATCAGTTAAACTAGGTAGCTGATTTTATTGTTGACATTTTATTAAAAAAATTTAATATAATGTTAGTGAAAAGAATAAAAATAAAAAAACCTTTACATATCATTCCGCCTATGTGATGGACATTGGTTATGATAATCTTTAGTATCTACTTTGAAGGCATCTTGAGTAAAACTGCTTCATATTTAACGAAGCATATGCAAAACACTTGAACCGGAAGCGACGAGACCCGATTAACAGAATACGGAAGTCTGTTGCGCATAACCCGTTATGTTTACGCGCACGGTAAAATGCTTCCACGAGAGGATAAAAGATCCACGCGTGAGGAAACGGGAGCCTGTGAGCTCTTTTTAAACACTTGCGCGCATCGCATAACCCCTAAAAAAGCTACTGGAATCTGAATCTGTCAGTCTCTGACAGCGATGTGGAGTTTTTCAAACGACTCGACCACAGAACACATCTCTGTTCATATGGTACGTAAACACTCAGTAATATATTTTGGAATATCACCCTGGTCGCGCTGAGTCAATATTCTGATTACTTTTGTGTGACTGATCAAGTTATTATATGTAGCTAGCATGAGTAACAAAATGTGTTCCCTGTGTTCACATTTGACCGCAATAATAATGCAAAAAATGACACTTCAAATCAACCTTTAAATGTCAACTTTTACAAAAAGTAGTCTTTAATAGTCTAAATACTGTATATATCCAAATACATAATCTAATACATGTTATTTATTTTATATTAGGCCTATAGCATGGTGTATTTTTATTCGGTTTGTTAACAAAAGTTCTATGTTTAATATAAGGTTAACATTAGTGTTGTCTGTCAATCAATTAAAAAAAGAATTAATCACACATTTTTATGTAATTAATCATGATTAATCGCATATTTATATTGTCATAATTTCACATTGAACCTCCAAATTAATGTACAAACAACATATAGTATATTTTAAATGTTTTTAATGGTATCTTTTTACTAAGTAACCTATTATTAATGAAGTATTGATACCAATACTGCTACCGGTGTCTCTATTAAATGCATTTTCCCTCAATTTTACCTATTAATTACAGCTATTCAACATTACAGTATAATTGAAAGCCATTATTTTTAACATTTAATAGGCTCTGAAATATTAAGTGATTTATCTGAAATATTAATTGATTTTAAAACAATCTTCACATAAACTATAAATTGTATAAGCATAAACAGATTAATCTTTATTCAAGCTGCAAAAGTTAATCAGCGACTAGAGCAGACGAGTGATTTCTCTTTTTTTTTTGTTCTTTGATTTACATCAATGACAGACTTTAGCGGGTTTTATTTTAAAAGCAGAGCTGTCACTTTTAAACCTGATGCACATGACGCGGATCTGACACATATCTTCTCCAAACTCTTTACGGTCATTTAAGACTATAACTCATTTAAGACTACGTTTACGAGGTTACTCGCCAAAACCGCGTATTTTGACATAATTGTGTGTTTTCGTCCGTTGAAGCGCTACTGGTGCGCTGTCCAAAGCGGCTCAGCGTATGTGTACAGCCGAACAAGCAACCTTTCTGCACCGTTTATGCGGAGTAACCCCAGGTATGTGTCGTCACATTCTCGGGTTAGGAAGAATAAAGATGGGAAAAGTTAATCTTCTGAAATGAAGCAGCAGTATCTTCTCAGGTAAAAGTTATTACAACAGTTATTATATGTAGCTAGTATGAGTAACAAAATGCGTTCCCTGGGGCCGTCTGGATCTCTTTCTGGGGGAACCTATAAAATTAGAACTTAAACTGAAATCTAAAATCTATAAAAGGTTAACATTAGTGTTGTCTGTCAATCAATTAAAAAAAGAATTAATCACACATTTTTATGTAATTAATCATGATTAATCGCATATTTATATTGTCATAATTTCACATTGAACCTCCAAATTAATGTACAAACAACAAAGATGGTATATTTTAAATATGTGTTTAATGGCATCTTTTTACTAAGAAGCCTATTATTAATGAAGACCAGTATCATTGATACCAATACTGCTACTGATGTCTCTATTAAATGCATTTTTTTTCCCATTTCAGCCATTGTATATAGACGTTCAACACTACAGTATAATCGAAAGCCATTTTTAACATTTATTATGCTCTGAAAAATATAACAACTTTTAATTTGAGTAAACTTTAAACAATCTTCACATAAACTAGAAATTGTGTATGCATAAACTATATAGATACATTTTTATTCAAGCTACAAAAGTTAATCAGTGGCTAGAACAGTCGAGTGATCTCTTTTTCTTTTGTTCTTAGATTTACATCCATGACAGATTTCATCAGGTTTCACTTTAAAAGCAGCGCGGATCTGACACATATCTTCTCCAAACTCTTTACGGTCATTTAAAACTTTATAACTCATTTAAAACTACGCTTACGAGGTAACTCGCCAAAACAGCGTATTTAGACAATTGTGTGTGTTTTCGTCCGTTGAAGCGCTACTGGTGTGCTGTCTGAAGCGGCTCAGCGTCTGTGTACAGCCGAACGCGCAGCCTTTCAAACTATAGTCTACTTATCACTGCACCGTTTATGCGGCGTAACCCCAGGTATGTGTCGCCACATTCTCGGGTTATGAAGAATAAAGAAGGGAAAAGTTAATCTTCCGAAATGAAGCAGCACAATCTTCTCAGGTAAAAGTTATTAGAACCGTGTCTAGGGACAAGCTGGCCATCACTGCTCTGACCTTATCAGCCCGTTTGTGTCCTATTATTTGATTCGCTCTTGTCACTTATGACAGAACAGCTAACCGATGATCTTGTCTTCGGAAAAGATTATTTTATTCGCTTACGTCATAAACAGCGAATCTCTTTAAAAACTGGCTGTTGTTCTCACTACATTGCATTGTTATATTTCGTAAAAGTTTTACCCGCCAACTGGCGACTGACACGGTTACATATACTCGCCAATGCCTATTTTTACTCGCATTTGGCACTTGGGGAGTGTTAATTTTAGGCCCTGCTTATACATATACATATATGGCTGAGCAATAACTGCCCCACCCCCAGTGATTTCGGCCACTGCCCCTCAAAATTTCGGACCTGACATATGTCAGAAAAGGTAAAGAGTTGTGAGAAACTACGACGCGTGTCAGGTCCGAGTCATGTTCAGCAGCAGCAGCTCTTAAAAGAGCACCCAAAATAACCTAATGACCCAGCTGTTGTGATGTCTGTTAATCAAAGAACAAAAGAAAAAAAGATTAAATCAATAACTTTTGTAGCTTTAAGGATTCATCTATGTTTAATTTAGAATTTAGTGTGTGATCATTTTTATTCAATTTCTGTGTTTTTCTTACTTGCTGAAGAGCAAGTAAGTAAATGAATCGCGATTAATTTCAGAAAAAAATGTGCGAATAATTAGTTTGGTTTTTTTTATCGATTGACAGCACTAATTTAAATCCAACCTTTATCAAAAAAAAGCTAATTAAGATCTTCAGGAAAATTTATGTATACTACTGTTCAAAAGTTTGGGGTTGGTAAGATTTATGTATTTAATGTTGTTAAAAGAAGGTTGTATTTATATGATTGAAAATACAGTAGAACAGTTGTGAAAAATTATTACAATTTAAAATAACTCTTTTCTGTTTTTAATATATTTGAATATGTAATTTTAAAAAATACAAACTTTTGAGCAATAGTGTAAATGTGATTGATTAAGGTTGAAACTAAACTCGATATTAAGTTATTAAATAGCCCGATATTAAGCTGAGGTGCTCATGTGGGCGATACGTGTTTGAGTTTGGCTCATGTTACACTTTTCTCCCTGTCATTACTGTTGTTTTTAGGGTTGGAAATGTCAATAAGAACTTATTTCCTTATAAAAACTTCTAGACCTAAATTGTTTGTTTTGCAGTGGTTCAATAAAAAAATACGACAAAAGAAATGTGTATGCTAGTTGTTAGTTTCCAGTCTGAATTGAATGTGATGATTGAATAATAGAAAAAAGAAAAGCTTACATAAAGAATTTAATTTTTACTACTTAAGATGTTTGTCATCGGATGCAGTAAATACTCCGACAGTATGCAAATTTGGACGCAGTGAATAGAACACAAAGTCTAGTGTGACCTCATCTAAACTATTCTATTAACTACTAAAAATAACAGTGACAAAAAGGCCTAAAAAATGTAATTGCGAGGCAACAGAATGGATGTCGGTGTTGTGCAAGATTGTATCACCCTTCCTTAATGCCTCAAAAACACAGCATGGTAATAAAAAAAATCAAAAGTAATCAAAAAGAACATTGCAGTACAGTAATCAAAAGAACATTGCCACACTAATAGGCTAAGCTGTTAGTATGCTAACTGATTCTTAAATGAAAACACAAAGAAAGCTTTGGTAGTATTTGGTAACATTTTGGCAATATTTGGCTAGCAAGCTAATATATCAGATTATCAACATTATATCAACAGAAGACAATGAAATCAAACAAGAGTCATGAATTACCATCTCGGTCTGATGCATTTTTTTCACTCTTGTCCTCAGATCCTTGCAGTGATACTCTGAACAGCTTGAGTGTGGCCTGTCGGGTGAACCCAAAGACCTACAAGCAGTTTACCTTCGCCCAAGCCGATTCCTGCCCACCCGACAGTACGCCCATCTGCGCCAGTGACGGCCACACTTACGATAGCGAGTGTCAGATGGAGCGGATAGCCCTGCAGAACAACCTGGAGCTCAAGAAGGTTTCTTCAGGCAGCTGCAAGGAGAAAGGTGAGTTCCTCCTAGAGCCGAGTTGTCATAGACTCCCAGGAGCTCATGCTCGTGTCTGATAAAGGAGCCCTACGGCCCCATTTGATTTATTTTGTCATGGCTGCGGTGAGAAGGATCTGGACAAATTAAGTCAGGTTAGCAGTACTGTCATGCCTACACGATACCAATCTCCACAAATCCAATTTGCCTGTCGGGCTCTGGCAGGTGTATTGTGGCAAGACTGTATCTTCACGGGTGATGAAAAGATCGTCCCTGCTTCGCTCTGAAGCCCTGTGGCAAAGCGCAGAGAGAGTGTGTGTTCAGCTGTGATAGTGCACGAATGGGGGCTTAGTGTGATGTGTGTGTGCCTGTGTCTGAACTGTGTTTGTGCCGTGAGCGATAGTGGTGTTATTTGTGAGCCACTGTTGTCCCAATACAGAGCAACTGTTTCTGTGCCGGTGTAACTCGAGAAACAATAGCATTTGTCTCAGATGTGTCTTACTTTGTTGGATACATGTCTAGCACAGTGGCGGCTCGTAGGTTTTAAAATAGAGGAGGCACTCTAATTGTATTGGTCTGGGATCCGAGCCGCCACTGGTCTAGCATGTAAACGTGTTTGGGATTTGCTCAGTCAATATGTGAATCAAAATGTATCCCCCACATCATTAGTCTTAATACTTGTTATTTGCTATTATTGCCATAGTTTTTATAAAAAAAAATAAGCATTCACATTGAGCTACATTAAAGGGATAGTTGACCCAAAAATTAAAATTCTCTCATTAATTACTCACCCTCATGTTGTTCCAAACCTGTAAGATTCATTCATCTTCAGAACACAAATTAAGATATTTTTGATGAAATCTGAGAGCTTTCTGACCCTCCATAGACAGCAACAGAACTACCAAGTTCAAGGCCCAGAAAGGTAGTAAGGACATCATTAAAATGTGACATGTGACATCAGTGGTTCAACCATCATTTTATGAAGCTACAAGAATACTTTTTGTGCACAAAGAAAACAAAATTAATGACTTTATTCAACAATTTCTTCTATTCCGTGCCAGTCTTCGACGCGCGTTCACGACAGTACCACGGCATTCCTCTGCTTGCAAACAAGCCATAGCGCATCCAGGTTCTACATCAGAATGCTGGCTCCTGCGTGAGCAGCACCACATGCATGCGTTGTGGTACTCTTGTGAACGCACGTCGAAGACTGACACAGAAGAGAAAAAATTGTTGAATAAAGTAGTTATTTTAGTTTTCTTTGCACACAAAATGTATTCATAAAGTATTGAACCACTGATGTCACATGGACTAACAATGTCCTTACTACCTTTCTGGGTCTTGAACATGGTAGTTGCTGTCTATGCAGGGTCAAAAAGCTCTCGAATTTCATCAAAAATATCTTAATTTGTGTTCCAAAGATGAACGAAGGTCTTAAGGGTTTGGAACAACATGAGAGCAGGTAATTAATGACAGATTTTTCATTTTTGGGTGAACTATCCCTTTAAGGGTGAACATGATCAGCCTCCATATCTCAAAACCTCCTCAAAAGTAGATCCTTCCGATCCTGATCAAACGTGAATCTTGTCATTGCTAATCAAAAGAGTCTTTCTTAAGCAGTTAGTAATATGCTATGCTAGTAGACTTAGCTGCTAACTGAAGGCTAAATTAAAACAAAGAAAGGGAAATCTCCCTTTTGAAAAAAACAGCATATGCTGGTTAGGTATGTTTTGAAGCATGGTCGCTGGTTTGAGCTGGTCCTGAGATGGATGATTGATTTTAAGAGAGAAATAGTCCTCTACAATTGACTGAAAACTTTCTTTTAGGTCTGTTCTTGTATGAAGCTCCCAGTTTTCACAATTCCAGATGGAGCATGTTATTATTAATCAAAATAGACTTTTAGTGCAGGTTAGCACTATGGTACACTAGTACACGAAGCTATTAGTTTGCTAACTAAAGGCTAAATGAAAGCACAAAAAGTAGGATGTTTACTTGTCAGCTGTTTCCATTCATAAATCTGGGCACCTCACATTTTTAGCTTTGGTAATATTTGGTTAATTAGCTAACTTAGCCTTCTAGCGTAACAAAATGCTAACTAAAAAAAGAACCTTTTTTTTTTTTTTTGATTAGTTAGAAAAAAATATTGTGATAACTTGCTACATTTTTGATCTGACAATACAAAGTATCACAAAGGGATATGATTCTGTAGTGTTATATATGTTTCAGGAGTGAAATTCTCCTCCACAATCTCATAGGTCCGTTCTTGTGTGGAACTCCCAGTTTTTGCAATCCAGTCGATTCCCAATGGATGAAATCAAGTCTTGTCCTAGATTTTTTCTTATTAAATAATGTTTTTTACTCACAAATACGTCACACTGTGGAAGTAATTGGGTTGTGAAAGCCATTTCATGTGGAGTAAAAACAGAAGTTCAGAAATTCCACTTACATTCCTAGCTTAATTTCATCAGCATGTATGTCACGTCGTTAAAGATAGGTTAGATAATGGAATCAAACATAAATCAAGCACAGATTATACAATAACATAATAGGTCTCTTCATTTTCTCAAACAAATGAAAGGCTGCTGTAATTACGCACCACCACGGCCCATCTGTGACAGCTTAACACAACTCTATAAGTGGAAAAAAAACACCCCAAATCAATCTGAATGGAATTAGATAATTGATTAAATAATCAGGCACGGTAATTAATTCAAAACCCCTGAGTGAGTCAATATCCGATGTCTGATTGAGCGAGAGAAAAAGAGAGATGCCTCCAGTCAGTGTTGATTAGCACCAGGACGGTTACTGGCATTCTTCACATTGTTGATGCATGTATACGTGTGTCTCCGGTCTCCAGGGGGCTGCCCGAACGGTTGTAAGTTCAACGCCATGTGCTTGCTGGAAAACGGAGAGTTTCGGTGTTCCTGCAACCCCATACAATGTGACGGCACATACAAGCCCCTGTGCGGAAAGGACGGAAAGACATACCCCAACGACTGTGAGAGGAAACTCGAAGAGTGTCGGACCGAAACAGGCATCCCTGTCAAGCAACAAGGGCCCTGTGGTGAGTGTGGGGAATTGTGGGATAGTTCCGTACAGATGTTTTGCTGTGTTCTTGTAATTTTATGTTAGTGAAATAGATGTTGTTTAATTAGCATTGTATGTCTGCTTGTGTTTGGTTGTGTCCTGCGGGAAACTCTTGTGGAAGGTGCTCATTCTCTTTCATTTCCACGCCGTTCTCATCCTGCCATCAGCTCTGATGACACATGAAACACTGACTTCATGTTTCATTGATGTCCTCACCCCTCCAGTGCCAGTCATCCACGCCTGTCCTTCCATGTTCAGATGTCTCGTCATTTCCCCCTTTGTCCTTTTGTGTCCTTGTTTGGCTGTCTTTAAACTATTTTTTCTGTTCCAGTGTGTCTCTCTGTCAGTCTTTGTCCGTGTGATGTCTGCTCAGGGTCACCGCCGGACACACCACTCGTTGCGAGCGGGGAAGAGTTCAACCTCTGACCTTTCTTATTGGAATTCTGACCTGTGGGTCTCCTTCAGGGGGCCCTCAATGGGCTGGTTTGATGTCTTTTTTCTACCTGTACCTCTTTGTCTCTGTCTCTTGTGTTTGTTTGCGTGATGGAGGATGGTTGGAGTGGCCCTCCCTGCAGCTCCAGTCCTCATGGCACTATTTGGAGGGGAAGTGAGGTCATGGAGCTCTTCTTTTTTTCGAGTGCTGTGTTTGTCTGGATGAATCATTTCCCAATCGTTCTGACCCTACCTGTTTGCATGGATGCATGCATATAGCCCCCTTGATAGGAGCTATGTTAGTTCCTCTGTTACGCTTAACGACAGAAACAGAATCTATGCAAGTACGCAGACGTAAAAACTCAAAAATGTGGAAGTGAGCATTCCCATATATATTCCCATAATAGAGGGCAATAGTGTAACTGTCAAATGTCTGCCATTAAACCATATGCTGCCTTTCATATATATATTTCATATATAAATATGTTGATATGATCCAAGTTGCTCAGTGAAGATTATTTTTCGGATTGTTGCTCCACCATGAATGTAGACAAGAAATCTGGCCATAGAAGAAGAACGTTTATGAAAACAGGCTTGTGTTGCTTGAAACGTTTGCGTACTTGTGTGTCACATCCCTTTGGCATTTTCCCTTGAGTCCGAGTGCATACTTCCCTCCTATACAGTATATAAAAGGCATATTCAGTGTCTTCTGCTATTTTTCTTAGTGATATTTAGTGCCAGTTTATAAAGAAGTTGTGATTTTGTTCTCTTTGACTCGTTGGATGGAAACGGTGCTTATTCGCAAATGATTTATGCGATATTCCAATTTTGCACAAGTTAAATTTGCAACTTAGCTAGTGAGTCAGGCATTGCTTTTTATGGTTAAATTGTACTTGTACTAACCAACAAGCATCAAATATACTTTTGTGTTAAACGTGTAGGCCTATACAACATAGCTAAAAATCTGCATCTTTATATATAGGTTTCATTTTTATAGAATATCTTAATTCTCTTATACAAGTAAATTAATAATATCTTGAAGTTGTTTTATTAATATTTACCACTTTTTACTTGCGAACAAGACAAAAATATTAAATTATTTTTCACAGTGCGCACCTGGCAAATATACCAAATAATATCTACCAAATTGACGATCAAGAACTCTTCAGTACATACTGTGCAAGTACAGTAATTCAGAGGTAGCCTGTTTCGTGCACCACTCTCCACTTTACACTAAAATACATAAAACACCTCAAAATTATTACAGCAGTTATTAAAAAAAGGCTTGAAAGGGAGAAAACAGGATCTGGACAGTGTGTTAATTATGGGACGTGTATCCAGGGCTGTTTTGGCAGGGTTCAGATTTTGAGCACATTTTAACGGTACAGAAATATCCCTCTCATTTATTCTGAATGCAATGTGTGTCCTAATACCTGGCAGCACATATGTGGCAACTATAGCGCTGGATGCATCTTTTCTTTTTTCCCTCCCTCTCTTCTTTTTTCTCTTCTCACTATCAGCCTCTATGACTCATTAGGATTGTTTTCCAGTCTTCAGCGAAAAGATGCATAAATTAACATATAAAGAGGAGTAGTGCTCGTGTCTTTGACTTTATTTAATTATTTTTGTTTTAAGTTATTTAAGTGTTTTGGTCCTTTCAGGCTTTCGCTGGTGGCAAGTTACAGTATGTTGTTTTAATACATTTATTTACATTTGCATATTCCGCAAACAGAACATTAATTAAACATCAAAAGCTCTGTGGCGGACCTCAACCAGGCTGACTGCCTTTCATGCCGAGGAAGATACGGAGCATTGATGAGCGAAAGTCTTGTGCTTTGGACACCTGCTCGCAGTTTGATGTGTAAATGCAGAAAAAAGTTGCTTTGCTTAGTTGCCTTGTTTTACTTTTGTCACTTTCTTTGTCTTCTCTCTCTCTTTTTCTGTTATATCCATCCAGACCAGGTTTTGCTTGTTTGCATGTTCCCATTAGATGCTGTCAGGATAGTTACATGAATATGAATGCTAACAGCTAGCTTCCTGTAGACTGCCTTAATACTGACAAGGACCAAAGTGAAGTCTATGTTTTACTAAAGTGTGTTTCGGTCCTTTAGAAGACACTCAAGCGTGACAAAGCTCACCTTTCCCACAGTGGAAAACCTCTAAATGGGCCTCTTGTCACACGCTAATCAATAGCAGAGACGCTGTGTGTGTACATGAGTCATTTCAAACGCTGAGCATGTCAGGTTTTTTTCAGTGTCTGACATGGTTTCATCTGCTTCCCATTGTCTTTGGAGGCAAGCAGAGCTGGGTCACTGTGTGAGCAGCGCTTGTCGAGAGACACAATTCACTCTAAAATCAAAGAAATGTGTAGTAATGAGAAAGGTCAACAAGAGACTGCAGCTCCTAAGGAAAACAGAAAACACTGTAAAAGTAGAAAGTTTGAGAACAAAGGACTGAAGATACACAAGACTAGACTGTGGTTCCTCATCTGAAAGTCTACCTGCAGACTGTTGATGGAGCTTTAAAATATGGCAGTGTATAGAGAGTTCAGGTCTTATTAATGTCAGCGTGACTTTTTCAGTCTGTTGTTTGGATGTGTGAGGCAGCAGATGAGTCTAAGAACACCTGTGTCAAAGTCATTTTAGGAGTGACAAAAGGAAAAGGATACTAGATAGGGTTGGGCGATTATATCAAATATTCATATTTAGTTCACAGGGTTTTTGCTGCCAGTGTAAAATTGAGCAGCGTTGTGATGAATGTGCTTTTCATTTTCATTATAAAATAGTCATTAGACAATTGAAAGTCTCCATATGGCATTTTTCATGCAAAAAAAAGGAAAAAAATAAAAGATATTGTTATATTGGTACATATAATGAGAATAATTAAATATAATTTATTATTTACTTTCATTGTAAACATAATTATTTAAAAAACTTACTTGTCGCATTAAACATTTCTAATTTATTTTACAACAATGTTTTTAGCCAAATCATAGTTGTTCTGATTGAAAAAAAAGTATTATTTTTATTTTATTTTATTTTATTTTATTTTATTTTATTTAGCCGCCATTGGCCCATATATTGTGCTGTATATTAGCATTTTCTTATGAGGGCAGTCACAGGAAGTTACAGAAGCATGGTATAGTTATGGTATCATATGGTAATACCATAACATCCATATTTATATCCATATTTGAATACAATCTATTCAGTATATGATGCTGTGATGACTGGGATATTATACAGTAGAATATGGTAGTACTATGGTATTATCAGATGATAATATATACTGTTTTTTTTGTACTGTTTTTGTCTAAATTAGGTCCTAAGCTTGTCTTTACAATTTCCACAACGCTTGTGTTATGTCTACTGGGAATATGTTTTCCAGGTTTCAGTTTCTGTCCTTCACAGCCTCATTTTCATTTACTTCAAATGAAATAGTGTCTGCTCTGACTGAAGTCTATGAGACCTTGAATGATCATCTTTATCATGGCTCTGCTCCATCCAATGTAATTTCAGAACTCCGTAACTCTGTGGGTGTGTGAGCCCTAATGGACTCCTAATGATAAGGAAAGAAAGCAGTCCATTTCTCTAAGCAGAGCAAGATGGATCCTGCAAATGAAGCTGACCTAAATACACAGCTGTCATTATAGTCTGGAGGATGTTTCATAGCTTTTGTGAAGTGAACAGACCCTCAGAATATACCAGCTTTCTGTCCTTCCCTATCTGTCTCTCTGTTCCCATGGCAGTAACTCATAAAGACTAACAATGGGCTTAGACTTACTGACATTGTCATTGAGCAAGAGCTCTGTGAAAAGAGGTGCCTGGGAATCAACGCCCCAGGTGACAACGTACTCTGATTAATATTTATCATTTGCATATTTATTTGATTAGCATCTCTTGCTGAAAACGGCATAAACTTTGATTTTTTTTTTTTTAATTTTCGGAAAAAACAAAACAATAACAATATTAAGCACCCATTGAACTTTGGAGGGCCTAGTGAGATGTGCGTAATGAATCCAATTAGACAAGTAGATTGAAGAGCCAGGGTAGCGTGATTATAATTAGCATGAACCTTTGCACCTCGCTGTGTGAGGAGGAAGGGTTGTATCTGGGTCGCTGTTGTAAGTTGGAAAGCCCTCACCGGTTTCTGTCATGTGTGTTTGTTAGGAGGCTCTTTGTAGAACATGCTTCTGTAATGCACGTCTGCCTTCCCCCTCGTTTTCCCTCATTCCCTCATCCTCCTCTGCTCCCCTTTCTTCTCTGTTCAGAGTGCTGTATGCAATGCTTGTCTTAACATCTGCCTGTGTGACGCCCTTCTGCTGAAGGGATCCATGGATCTGTCATGCTCTGTGCTCAGTTTTCAGGCTTCTGTGTCATTCAGAACTGAATTATGAATGATTTCAAAATTCCAGTTCAATTCCTGAATTTGAATTGAGGTAGCAAACTGGGTGCAGAATTGTAATTTGAATTTAAAGAAGTAGAATCAAAATTAAATTATTTTTTTTCAGTATGTTTTATGCATAAACTTTCTCATACACAAAGT